TTGTGTGATATGAATAGTATTGCTTGTTTTTATTTTTCTATGAAAAATTTACGTATATTCGTTTATTTTTCCTACCTTGGGGCGTTTTCCGTGAAATTTAGATGTGTACAGCGCCCTCGGTAAGAAAAATAGCATTCGCCACACGCAATCACCATCTGACCGAGCACTACCCTACGGACCCTCAGGCCGCAAAATAGCCCTGGTGATAATGTCGCTTGTATAATGACTTGGCTTCCTACGTTAGTATTCCATTTCCTCCTTTTTCTTTTTTGTTTGATCAAACTTATAAATATTTTCGTAATTCTTGCGGTGGCCGTAAAAAGAACTAAGATAAAAAATATCTCCATAGTGTTTTTTTCAATGGTAATTTGATGCTAATCGAACACCTGAGTATCTGGAAATCTAGAGAAAAACTTTCAAACAAGCCGAATGAAATTTCGTTTCGAAGTTTACGATTCCATACGTCGACTTGGCCTAAAATTCAATAAGTTCAGCAACAAAACCGTAATTTTGATGATGTATTTTGCCAAAAAATTTATACTATTATTTTATGTATCAAAAATTTACATGTACTATAGTGCTAACAGCAAAAGCAAAAAAAACATAGAAAAAAAGCCAGACAATATATGTTATTCGATCCCAAACATCTACATGTTTATCGCCTTTTCCTCGAGCTTGCACTTACGTGTCGATCCGAAAATGTGTTTCCGTGTTTTAAAAATACACTGTGGATAGAACTACCAGAGAATACGAAATCAGCGAGTACAAAGAGAGGACGATGGGTGAAAGAGAAAGAAAGCAGATATCACCTCCATCGCGTTAAAATCAAACCAGTGCGCTTAAGCTGGGACTCTTGCATAAATAAACATCGGCGCCTGAGCGAGGTCGCGTATCGCACATTGTACTCCAGCCTCAGTGTGTTTATATTTTGCATACATGTATCAAGTCATTTTGAGCCTTTCTTTGCAGTATTGGGGCTTTGAGATTTGATGGAACAGAGTGCAAATACAAAGCGTCGTTGCGAATGGGAATGAGAAAAGAGTGCATGGAGCAGAGAGCCACATGTAAACGAAACTGCGAGATTGATTGACTGAAATGGAAAATTCGGCACCATTATCATCTCATGGTGTTCAAATGAAAAGTCATGAAGAAAGGAGAGTTGGGGACTGCAACAGCTCGGAAGAAAATGAGAGACACATGTGCATCTCATACAGAGACTGAACTTTGCAAGGAGTAGTGGTTGGCGAAAAGTGATATCTCATCACCACGGCTAAGTATACTAAAATTTGCTGTTCTGCGTGTATATCAGCGAATGTAAATGCGAATGGTTGTCATAGAAGAGAGAAACTGTAGATGAGATGAAAAGTAAGAAATGGTCGATTTTCAAGCTCATGAATATGAATGTATTCACATAGCTTACGCACAGATCTCAACTACACATCGTTCTTTCATGTATAGGACAGGGTGGGGTATATTTCGATTAACAGAAACCCCTCTACATGTTATTTGCGTTGGTACACATGTATACGTGTACATTATTGATTGTGCCATTGTGATGGGCTTCTATAATGGAGCTAAAGATGACAATAATTACGAACAAAGGGTAAACATGATGAGTTTGGTATGGAGGCGAATGGCTACCTGCATTAGTTCAAATTTTGCGGGTATACGCCCGCAATCAATATTCAAAACGCCTGGTAACGATCATTCCTCGAGTGCATTTTGACTCCAATCAATTTCTATTATAAAAAAGCTCTGCAGTTGACTCTCATAATGATTTTGCATGCACTGCAGCGTGATACGTATTAACGGTGGAACTTGTTAATTAGCAAAATTTCAGTCCACACAATCGAGCTCTTGTTCTGCTTCAGCTTTCCCAGAAAATAATGAACTATTTTACGGGAAATTCTCTTGTAGATCGATGGCTCAACTGACTCAAGGTACCGAACAAAAGTGAAAACTCACGACACCTATAGAAGTGAACGCAAAGTCTAAAAAAAAGTAGTTAATTGCTCCTACAGCAATCAGGAAACGTATTCAAAAGCTCGCTTACAAGTTCATTCCCACTTGGTCTCACACTCTAGTTTCAAGCTCCTTCTGAGAGAACGTGTTTACGAATACGCACATCTGGCACTCCGGAAGCTTAGTCAAACGAAATCTGAATCAGGAGCCGTACGCGTTCTTCTCCTTACTTGTTCACCATGTGTGGAGCTTGCAAGCTGCTGCACGTTCACTGGCTTGGCTGTACGATGTCATGAAAGAGGTTCTGATTTAGCTCGCGTTCTTACTGCCACTAGAGAAGGTAGTTCAGGTTACGAGAAAATGCAAAAGGATTCTGCCCGAAGTTACGCATGTTCATACTGGTATGTGTGCTTTTGATATAAATAGAGAATGTCGCCTTACGCTTCTAGAAGGCACCTCAAGCGCTTGCGTGGATTTTTTTTCATTAAACAACTTCACTCGTGAAAGAGTAAAATCGTAAAGAAAAGGGTACTTTCTCTTTTAGATTTTCATTCATGATTCCACTGTTGTTGCAAATAAAAGAAGATGAAATCATGAGTCAATTCACTTGCAAATTTATTTAGCTTGCAGAAAAAAACAGCTAATCTCTCGAGGAGCTTTCAATATCCTATTCATTTCTATTACTTCAAAACAAAGTTCAGTTACGTCAACGACGGTCTACTGCAAGTGGTACATGATATATTCAGCGGAAAGCTGCAAAACAAACGTGTGTATCCTATACGTATAGGTTTTGCTTGTACGTATGAAATGGTATAGGGTCATAGCCATATATTGCAAGACACAAGTATAATACACTAATTCCTTCTTTCTCAGTGCGTATCCCCCTTTTGTTAATTCATTCATTAAGTTGAGCTACCCTCGCTTATGAACTCGCTTATCTATGTACCTACTTGTACAGAAAACTCGCAGCTTCGTATACGACAGTGTATTTTATACCCTCCCTGCAGGGAATCACTTTATTATTCAGTAGTAGCAACAGTAGCAACCAAAGGGGAAAAAAAAGAGCCTATAACTGGACCGATCTGCGATGAGGAAGTATCGTTGGGGCAATTGTGGCACTCAGGCACAGCTGCTCTTTTCGTCGTCCTCTACATCAAGTTATGTAATGTATAGATTATGTTAAATCAGATGAGGGGTGTAGGTGAGTTCTTTCTTTTACCGATATTAAATTTCCGACTTTATTCTAGCTGGGTGTCTTACCATTATCTTTCTCCCCAAATCTCTTGTTGCACTAATTGATTCTATGCTTAAATACATACGTGTTCTCTTTTATGATTCGAGCTTTTCTGACAGTAACTTCTTTCAGCTTACTATTGCCTTACCTTGAAATTCTGTAAGTCAAATGCTTGTTGACTCTTACTACCCTTAGATAGCGTGTTGATTCAAGTAAAATTGGTGGTATTGGGTGAATGTCTGAGTTAAATCTGGCAATTTTTATGTAAGTAACCTGAGGAAGAGAATGCAGTGGAGCTGTAGACCATTTTATGGAAGCAATGTGGTTGAAGGTTTACAGTAATTTTCTTACCATGGGCTACTTTGAGGGTTGGGTGTGCCCTCGGTAGGAAAAATAGGGTTCGCACCTGGTGCGCATCCAATCAGGGCAAGCACAAGGAGCCTGGTGCTTGTCCTGGCGACATGCGCCACCAGATACGAAAACTACTATTTGTAATATTTTGTCCTCACAAAAATGATTGTGTTAAAAGATGAATTATTTAATTTGATGTTTAATACGTATGATAACAAAATTTTGCTTTATCCATCTAGAAAAGTATGTGTAGTGGTTGATGTGGGTAGTCCGAACTTGGATGCCATCAGCTAATACTTGTTTCTGGTAGACCAACTCAAATATGATATACCTTTGAAATAGAAAATAGCACCAAAAAAGCAAGTAAAAATTTTCTTGGGACACAGTAGCTGAGTCAAATTAAGTCAGCCCATCTAAGAAACCAAAAAAAGTGTTAACGAATAAACTTGTTAGAGCGCTGCAGCCGCGGCTCCAAAGTTCGCTCGTATACGGCATAAAAGCCAAGCCAGTGCGGCCCCAAGTTGGGTAGGTTTCAATTTTACCACCCTACATTATAGGGAAGCGTGAGGAAGCTGGATTAAAGAGCCCTGGTCGATGGAATTTAGGACTCGCATAACGACTTCCGTACTTTGGCTGAAAAAAGAGATTTTAGAGAGAAAGAGAGGGAAAAGAAATGAGGGGATGGAGAGAGGGGAAATGTTCACTTTCCGTGAAAGGCTGCTCTTCGAAAAAGTCTTCGGGATAGGCACTGTTCTACTGGAGTACTTAGTGGCTATGTTCTTCTTCTAAGCTTGCAGTACAAAGCTCTCTCGAGTCGTTATATACTGCTTCTACTTTTCTCTTACACTGAAAAAAAACACGAATCTGACTCCATTGCTTCTTTTCTTTTCACCTATTCTCCTTTAGCTATTAAAATTCGCTGTTGCACTTAGCAGTAGCTGCATGTAAGTGCTTGTTTGCTTTTTTTTCTGTAGGAATTTTTTCTCTGTAGCAAGAGTTAAGGCTTCTCTATTTTAAAGTGATATTATCTTTTGTGTTTATATTTTTATAATGCGATTAGTTGGTCAAAAATAAGTTTTGCTTATAATATAATAAAACCAAATGATATCGAAAAAAATTCACTTGCATCTAAACTAGATTAAAATTTGTGTCATTCATACATGTTTCTGAAAGGGAGGGATTTACCACAAGATACAGTTGCTTGATTGATTCTATGTAGATGTCATTACCTTGCGCTATTCATACCTACTGAAAAGGAAAATAATCGTTTCTATTTTTGATAAAGAAATATCAGCTCTGGTTGCTTATTGAAACACTTTAAACTGCAGAAAAGCTTCAACAACCTCGACAAACTATCCCCTAATTTGCTGGAGAAAGCCAGCTTTGGTAAAAGAGCAATCCACTAGTAGAAACAGTTACGTGTATACATAAAAAGCTTTAAAGTAATACTCACATCAAGCAAATTCATGAGTGATGCTCGGCGTCGTGGATCCGGCTCGGTCATTGCAGCAAGCACCGACTGCAGTGCTGAAGAGGGTGAGACTGATACGGTGCCCGTAAGCGCCGTGGCCCTCGGTGTCGTGTCCAGCAGAGCCCTACCTAGAGAGTACATCCACATCTGAAAAAGAAACAGCAAGATATCATTAAAAACTTCATCTGGCCCTCTTACAGAACATTCATACGTGCGCGCCTAAAGACATGGAACATGAACATATACGTGCTAGAGGTGGTGCAGACCTCATTTTAATCAAGCTTGGGCTCTTTATTTGCGTTGGGTGTACTCTCTGCTATACATGAGTCGCATGTTTGCTGCTACTTCTTATTAGCTGACTCGGTAAACGGAAATTCCGTCAAAAGCTGACGATTATTATGATGGAGAATTAATTTCGCTGGCGTTGCCAAGATTACTGTGACGATCACACTTGCTTTTCAGATTTTTTTTTCCTTCCTACTTTTTATAATCTTTCAAGTAAAGTAAAAAATTCTTGAAGAGAAAATCAAAACAAAAGTATTTTTTCACCACGTACAGTACTAAGAAATTTTTTTTTTTTTGACAAAGCTTGACTATTGAAAAAAAAATTTTCCCTCGAGAATCAAAATATTTCTCAGTGATGTAGGGAGATTTCTTACGTTTTTATAAAAGTCTGTTGCACTGTTAACTGGAATTAGCAGTTTCAATAATTTCTGGATCAGATACATACCAGCGAGATTTCAATCATTAGTGATCCTTAAATTTTTATTATCAAGTGTTTGAAGAAGTACATTTATTTAATCGTTACAATAATTTTTTTGAACATCTGTCACGGTAGTAAGTACTGTTAAAAATGTATTTTACGCCGGTATAACCAAAACCAACTTCAACGACTTATTGATCTCTCTCGTCAGCTCCGCTCTAAAAGTTAAGTAGGACTCCTTCAAACTGACTTATCGCCATTTCCAATTAATTCCCATCTCTTGGAAAGATAACGGAAGCCGGCTCCAACGTCATCTTTACTCGGAATTAGAGCTGCCGCAAGACCCAAGAAAATTATGGTATTGTTTTGTCTTAAAAATCAAGACAATGTCAAGTAAAGATGTACATCGAATCATTATCATTTTTCAAGAACATAGTCAAGATCGTTATATTCTCGTATGTTCTCATCATGCGTAAGTCCTATTCGAAATCGATGTTTCACCGCATTAATTACCGCGCTCGAAAAAGAGAAAGAAAGAGCTGGAAAATCTTGCTCTTAAACGAAACATACGTGCCTACCGCGTAGCGTGAAGAAAGTTCACTCTCGTTAATGAGGCGTGAATCAACGCACCCCTAATTAGAAGCATACACTCGTAAAAAGCTGGGCTGAGCAGGGAACACTTTTTGACATATGCAGTTAGTGACAGTTCTTTCTGCTCAATCGATATACTATGTACAGGTTTTTGTAGGTCTGAAACAAATTTTGCCTTGGCATCAAATAACTGTGGTTAATATGGAATTTTTAATATTCTAGCGCTCACAAGGTATACGATTTTATACGTACGATGTAAAGTTAAAATGAGGCCTCATTATAAAGTTACCCAAGTTTGAATTGTTGTTCTAAAATACAAAGTACGTGAGCGTAAATAATTTGTTTATAACAAGTAATTCAGTCAGACCAACTAGTTCGAGAACGAATATAAATAATGTCATTAGATAATGCAAAAGCATGTGAGAATATTCAGCAAATATTGGGCGTCAATTGTTGACAGTTAATTTATATGAGTAAAAGTAAACTAACGAGGCCAGAGTAGCAGCTGCACTTGGAAACTTGGAGTTTAAAATAAGGTTTCTATAAAATTGCTTGGAAAGTTATACATCGACAATAACTTACTTCTGATAAAACATATTAGAGTGTATATGTGTATAGAAACAGCGGAGAAGAAGTTCGATTAAATTTTCCCTGTGTCGAAAATTCATTCTTCGTTAAAAGTACATGGTATCGAAAAATTTCTTGAAAACTTTCGACAGTTAGGTTGTATAGAACGCGAGTAGCAGCTGCTGTTGTAAGGAAGTGGAGATAATTACTGAAAGAAAAGAGGCCAATAAAAGCCGGCGAATCACCCTCAAGTCATGAGGAAGTTTGAGAGTCAATAATCGAACGAACAGGGGGTACTTGAGTCACGCTTGACCGGTGAAAATAACTGCCCCTTTTCATAGCTCTACATGTACAGAGGAAAAAGGCCAACTAGTTGGAACTGATGCACACGCAAAAGTCTGCCAATGGATGTTTGTTATTTTGTCGTAGTATCTTCGCAATCGCACCGACAAAGTTGCCAGAGGGAGTCGTTTGGCATCCACTAGTAGTTCCCCAAGTCCACGCGCGTATTCTCCCACTGATTGGCCAATGATTGAGTCCCGACGGAAATGGACAACTGCTGCGTTCAGAGACAGGAAGCGAGAGTCCCTGGGAGATTGAAACTTTTGAGTGTCGATTGACACACATACACACTCGTGCGCGTACGGGCAGGGCGCAGGTAGATAAAGATTCGCTAATGAAATTGCTTTGGATTTCTCTTTTCAAGCAACGCTAGAGAATAGATATGATAGAAATGACTTCTTCTTTAAACTTTAATAGTTATTTACGATAAGATGAAAAATGATCGTTGCCAAATCAATAATATGTAACATTTGTTAATAATGTTGCTGTGTGGCATACATTTATTACTGTGTCTCACTAAACATTGACAATTTCTACTTGAAATTAAATTCCTGACAAATGTATTGCAGAACCATATCGACCAACATTTTTAGTTGGAACTGTGGTCTTTTGCTTCCTTTACTTAATAAAGTGTTTTCAATCCTTGGAGTGTACTTAGCAGCGGCGCACAATGGGCATATTGGCTCTTTTTGTATCAAAAAATGGATTTTCTCTGAAATATTTTTACAAAATGGCTCTTTACCCAAGTTTTCCCATTAAGAATGTACTAACAGCTCTCAGTACTAAAGTAATCTTATTAAATTTCTCATATGGTAGGGTATATGAAAGGATGTGAATTTACATGACGAGTCATAGTGAAAAGTGAACAATATGTAAGTTATAGAAAACCTTTTTAATAACGTTCCTTTCTAAGTGGGGCACATTTAATCAGAAACGAGTATTGGTCTCACAAAAGGAATTCTAATCAAAACGAAAAGGTGCACAACAACGGTTCGATTGAACGTATCAGGAGAGAAAACTACTGCCATGACTATTGCTTTCACGAGTACTTTGGCAAAAGTATCCCTCATAGGACCTATGATACAAGTCCAGGCCGGTGTTGTATCAGCGGCTACTATTGCGCTGAGAGAATTTCCCAAGGGAGTTGACATCAATAAGTGTACCATTTTCGGGTTTACACGAAACGCAACTAAAAATAGTGCTGTCGAGTTTAAGGCGAAACTCCAGAGACATTCTTACGAATCAGTTTGCTGAAAACTCTGGGATGGATTTCTCTCCTTCTTTTTCCTTTTTAGTTTTCTTTTTGTTACCACGTGCCAGCGATGACGATGAGGGAAGTTCGTAACCTTATTTCCAATTTTTAATGTCATACTCGCAAGTGTGCGCGTGTACTAGTTTTATATTTCTGTGCAATACAACGGCTGAAAAAAGAGCTCTCCTCCAAAAGCTCTCTTTACATCACGCGTCGTATATATAAAAATATCGGGGGATTACTCGAGCGACAATTTTTGCGCTTTCTTCCGGTCGCTGCGTCGCAACGAAAGTGCGATTTGAGCATAAGAACGCGTGATAAGGTAGAGAGGAAGCCTGACCTGTACTGTGAAATACACATTTTTTTGATCCAGTTTTTCTATCTAGCTGTAGATGTTCTATCTAGGTAAACAAATGATTTTCGCCTTGTATTTTACAAATGTGTTTCGCCAATGTTTTACCTTCGCAGGTGAACGATAATAAATTCATAATAAACAAAATTGTAACTAAACATTCATAATGAAACGTTTTTAAAATAAAATTTTTTCCTGTTAACCTAACCTATCTTCCAATTACATATCGAGCTATCCAAAAAAATACACAATCAAAATTTCTGCAGTAGACGAGGTCACCATGGAACCAATGAAACATGAGCTTAGGAAAAAAATGAAAGAGTGGAATCATGACTAGCCAAAAGAAACCAGGAGGGGTGAAAGAACAGCATTTAATTGATTATGAAACTTCGGAAGCAATAAAAAATAAGGCAGAAAAAGAGAGGTAACGTGACTTTGACAAAGAGAAGAAAAAAGAACGAGTAAGCAAACGAAAGGGAGTAGCGTAGGCAATACCGCAGAGCGAAGAAAGACCCAGCACGCGTGCAAACATCAACACAAAAAATCTTTCTCTCCATCCTTCTCAAAAGCAGCTCTCACCTAACAAGCCGGAGTTACGATAGCGAGAGAATAACGGCCATCGTCGTCGGCCGAGAGAGCCACTTTAGTACTACTGCACACTTTCTGTGATACGCTTGCTTCCAATACACAGCCATTGCCGCCCTTTCGCTCGTGCGTTTACGCTTCGTATGTTTGTTTACTCGGGAGCAGCATTGCAGGGTATTCTAGAAGTTTCTGGGAGGTAACGAAGCAAATTTGTATACGCCTTTTTTTCAGTGAAGAATAAAAATAGCTCTACAACAACATCGATCGGCTCGAGAGTCTGGGAAACCTGTAAACAGCCATGCGAAATTATTTGCTACAGGATTACCCATCTCGTGGATAGGTACATAAATTATTGTAGCTTTTTCTTTTCTTGCTGCTGGCTGTCAAGTTGGAAAATTTAATTAGGGTCGAATGTGCTTGAATTCACACCCTTAAAGTCGCTTCTTATTGATTAAACAAGTCTATCAAGTGTTTTCTAACATCCATATATTTTTTTAAATCTATCGAGTGTTATTATAGCGGTATTATTCTACTATCACTGTTTTTCTGTATTTCATTGTAACTTACTCAGTGATTTTATTGCTTTTATACGAAATTTTCGGTTGATCCAAATAATAATCTAAAGCGTAATTTAGGTACTGAGTGATTCGAGTAGCTGGAAACAATTTGTATTACTTTACGCCCCTCTAGTACGGCAAATAACACCTTCACAGCCAAAGAATCAGAGTACAATGTCTCTCAATTTGTATTCTACTCATTTTCAATGCTGGAAGTTTTCTGAATAAAAAAAGGACTTCTCTTTTTTACTCTAGTAAAAAAATTGCACCTGAGACTTTTTCCTGCTTTGGTGTGCCAATGAAAAAGTGGAGGCAGTAAGAAATAACAGGAATATAACAGTTCTTTGGTAATATTTTTTCATGTAAATAGATCACCAAGGATCGTAACAATAGTCTTCCATTATCCTTTCTGATTTTTTGCAATAACCACCGTTTCTTTCCAGCTTCGATATATTTATGCAAATACTGTTGATGTTGTTTAAGAAAAACAGTTAGATGTAGCACCTATACCGGCCCTACGAAGATAATACATGAGAATGGCCGGAGAGGCTGCTGCTGTGTGCATGTATCGTAGATGGTTGTGAGACTTAATTGTTCTCGCGTGGCAGATATCGATCAACTTGGTCGTTGTGTGCCCCCGGGACCTATGACAAAGAGAGAATTTTTCTTGTCGATGAACGCGCCTGCCGCTGTGTAGTTAACGCGATTGGAATCAGGTTGCCTCCTGGCTTTATTTTTGTACGAGAGCTTTTGAAGGGCTGTCTGAAATAAAATTATTTCTTGCTCTTGTGCGATAAATTTGGAAATATTTTAGAGCTTAGTGAATAAAAGTGTATTCTATTGAAAAAATTGAAAATTTTTAGGATCATTACTGTTTTTTGATTTTCATTTCTTTTTTTAAGTATTTTAATTCGTTGGTACTGTGTAGTAATTTTCATAAAAAAAAATTAGTTTTCAAGATTTTTAAGATTTATCAATAAATACGTTTTTGAATTATTTCATTAGTTGAATCAAGTTTGTATTTACATTATAAAAAATTATAATTAATAATTTATTTTGTGATTAAAAAGTTGTTTAAGTCTGGTTGTAATTCATTCTTTCCATAAAATCAATTTATTCTAATTAGTGATTACAGCATTTTGTATTCACAAAAAATCGAAACCTAAGGTGTCCAATCACAACCATTGGAGTCACTATAAATGGGAACAAAACAGACATGTAAATTTCTAACGAAATACTGGACAATATTTTACTACTTGTAACCCAAATAAATTCTGCAACAAGTCAATCAAAACTCTAACTATACTTAATTCATTCAGCGGAATTGCGTTTTGATTGTCTCCCAATCAATCTCAGAGTTCTTGTTGGATTATTTAAGTAGATTATCGAAATATCGCGAAAATATCAACTATCTCTCTCTTTCTCTCTCTTTCTCTCTCTCTCTCTGCTTCCACTTCATGAGCTTTCTGACACGCACACGTGGGCTTTCTCTCATTTTCGTCCTAACTCTTCCAAACTCTCAGGGCTGTCGAAGCCACCAGTAAGAATATAAAATTTCACTCTACAACGCTATCTGCCCGCAATGAAACCTCCATAATTATAACGATACAACCCAAAATTGACTAGATTTCATTTGCGCTGGCCCGCTGGGTCATCCTCTATATCTGCTTGTTTGCCATTAAAGAAATACACAGCTCAAGCTTAGATTGATTAGCGCGATACAAATGGCCCTGTTCAACTTTGTTTCTCTCATTTACTCCTATACTCTGCTCTTTCCAGCAGCTCTTGTTTCAACGAGTCTAGAGCTGTTTTGTATGCCCTGCTTGTATATAAGGAAGTTTCTGTGTGTTTTTATATATGTCTCTCCCGTCTCCCGTTGCATCGACGTCAAGAGTGGCGTCGTTTGACTTTTTCGCTAGAACGAACTCGATTGCCATCGATTTTCGATAGTTATTTATAGGGGATGAGATGTTCGTAAGCGCGAAAGAGGGAAAGCAGTAAGGCCGGAAAATAACCTCATTACGATTCAAATAAGAACGGCTTACATTGCATTTTTCATCTTCAGCACGGGTATTAAATCGATACGGTTGCGGTCCTTTCAACTGGCATAAATATTGCATCAACCTGTGCGTAGAACGACTTTGTTATTATTATTATTATTATTTTTTTTTTTTTTATTTTTGAAATTTTTTTAAAAATGCTGCTCTCATATTTCTATGAAATTCTTCCTTATGAGAACTAACAAACGAATGTTCAAAAGTTTTTGGATTTCGTATTTTTAAATTTCAGTTAAAATAAACTCTTTTAAATGTATAAAAAGCGTTAGGTTACTTATATCATACTTTTTTTATAAGGCTGAACCAATGAATGGGGGTGTTCATTTAGTAGTGCATTAACTCGTTAATTATTTAATAATTAATGTAAAAACGTGCCAGCTGACTTTAGCTTGATATACAGAAATTAAATTATGTTACTTCGTAATATGAAATAGTTTTGTTATTAGTTTTTATTTGAATACTCTTCACCTACATTATAAATATGTTGTAGTAATCAAGGAAAATTTTTGATAAGTATTGGATTTCGTGTTTCGCCAGTTACTTTCCGCCAACATTATTACAGCTTTTAATGAATTTCACTACCTCTCTGATAAACTAATGTCAATTTTATAAAATTCCTTCGTAATGAATAGTAGAGTAACTAAATCAACAAAAACAAAGCAGAGAAAAAAAAAATTTGGTAGACAAAACTAATTGCTTGCTCCTCTCAAGTGGATTCTACAACCTTACAGCAAACATCTAAAAAAGGCATATTAAGTATAGCTCAATCAATCGATTTGGCCAAACAATTGAGAATCTCCAATGGGGTATCGTCAGTCTATTTTCATGTACTTGGTGTACAAAAAAAGTAAATAATATCTAATCACTCACCTTTTCCGAGTCTGTGTCCGAGTATATTCGTCCGGGCCTGTACTCGGGCGGTAAATAGGCCCTGGCGGTCTCCGGGGGCGCCTGGAGCAGCTGCACCCGGCCGCGGGCTGTCAGCTCAATCGTATGTGGTGTGACCACTGGGCCCGCCCTCGAGCCACCCACCACTCCTCCATCTACAACAGATTCAAACACGTCGAAAATTCAATTACACGTAGTGTTCTCTCTGGACCTCTTTTTTGCATTATTTTGTCCTCCATTTCTGTCATTCCATCTTAATCTCAGCAAAGCGATACTCCAAACTTTCGAGAATTAATTACTGATTGCTAAAGGGCTACCATCTTTCCCGGGCTTTTTAATTGTAAAACCTATACGCTCGGAGAAGCTACTTCGTGTAATGAATTGATTGTTGCCCGGCTCAACTCATGTGAAAAGCTTCCCGCTTGTTGTTCGGGTGACTACAGTCTGCCGGAACCTGTTTGCTGGATATTGCGGTGGGTGTTTGTTGGAAAACTTTTTTCGCTCCCTCTTGTTCGGTTTTTTTTCATAGTTACTTGGATTCAATTTGTCTTATATGGTGGAGCATACTTAAAGTGTAAATAATGTTTATAAGTGTTAATAAGGTTTGAATGTTGTTGTATGAAAATGTTGGTCAATAGTTTGTTACTTATTATAGCTTTTATTAATGACTGTCTGTTTAATACAAGATGATTCGCTTAGTATTTTAGTATAGTATTCGGTTTCACTGGTTCTCATCGGTGTATTATAAAAAAAAAAAATTCAAATAGTCTTGTTATAAGTTTTAATTTTAATAAACAAAAAGTCTTGACTTTTTTGTTAAAATTACAATTAACTCTTCTTCATGAAGGGTATGTATATTAGTAAAAATTCCTACCCTACTGAAAACCTTTCTTTAATAACCTTATTCTTCAAGCAGTACATTACTAAGAGATTTTTGTACAAACTATTTTTTATTTTCACTGATTTCTACTTGTAGAGCTTTAAAACAAAAATATCTAATTTTATGTACGCACATGCAAACAAAGAGTTTTTCTATTTTCACTGAGTATTTTTGATGGTTAGATAATTAAAAATTAACATGAAATCATCTCTCGCTTCTTTGCAAACGGTAAAAATTTTATTATTAATGACAATCAAATTCTAACCATTTGAATTATGGTAGAAAACAGTTCATCAAAGTTGAGCGAATTTTAAGCAGTTCAAAATCGTATGGAAGCCATAATAATGTGATGCAGTTATGCTAATATAGTCGAACTCTTTGCTTTTTTATACTTCAGTTACTCGTGCGACCTAAATTGCATTCAGTACGTATAGTTCTTGAAAAATTGTTCCCTTCTAATTTTTGAATTTATGTTACTTGGCTTCTAATAATTATTTCTTAGAGTATTTGTTAATAAAGATAAGTTTATCATGTAAAGCATCATATGCAAAAAAAATTTTTTACCCTTATGAAGATTTACTATCAGATATTATAAATCTTTTTCTCATGTAAATTATTTTTAATTAACTATTCAAGCTAACTTTACTGTAAAAAAGTTTTCAAAATAATTTATCAAAAAAATTGTTTTCGTTACATTTGTCATACTGTAGTTTTAAATATGAAACGGGTAAAAAGGGACTCGGGACTGCTGATTCGTCACAAAAAAGATCTTAAGAGATGACAGGAGACGAAAAAGTCTCGGCAAGTTTCTTTCACTCCAGCCTCGTGTTTTACAAGGCTTCTACCTTTTTTCTTTTATTATTTTGATGGAAGTGGATTAAATGCGGTTTCTTCACCACAAGTGTGCGCTCTGTTTTCTCTCCTTCTTTCCACCAAGATTCCACTGACCTATTTTTCCTAGTAATAAAAAGTTATAATTAATTTCGATGATGATTCTCCACAGCCTCTTCTTTTCATCTTAGTAATTCTAAACACTACCAGAGTGACGTAGATTGATCATAAATTCCAACTAAAATACATAATTGCAAATTATGATGTTAGCAAATTGTTTTTTGTATTCTTTCGTTTTTGGTACCATCGTCTAATTTTATTTGGTAATGGCGAGAAAACTTCATTCTTCCCTTTTTTCATCCCTTTTTGACGTTGAACGCGCTCAAAAGCCTATACATTTAAAGGAGCCACAGACAGGTGCACTACATCGACACATGGTACTGTAAAGTGAGGGACTCGCGTGGGATTGCCGGCAAACCGCGGTGCTATGCTGTACTAGGTACGCAGATGCGCTCGTTGACCGGCCGCTACAAAAACCACCAAAAGTAATTACAGTGACTCAGTGTGTGTTTTCCGTGTTTGTGCCTGTATGCATGAATTTTGAACATCTCGATACCGTTTGGTGCTTGTAACTTCCAAGTATTATTTGGAGTTTCAATGGATGTAAGATAATTAAGGAGTATTTAGATTGCCCGTAACTAGTGTATACATACAATGTTGTAGTAGTATTTTTAAGAGACATTGACTAAAAAAATGTTTAGTAGTTGCTGAAGCCACTTTTTACGACCGTCATAATTTTTCATAGATAACTCAGCTCCTTGAACATTTTTTTATGTGGGATTTAAAATAAAGTTGGTTGTTTGATTGAGAGGACACCTAATTTTTTTATTTTTTTTTTATGAGTCAAGGACAATGAAATATTTTTACACTTCATTCTCCCCCAAACAAACTCCGTTGGGGAAAAACAATCATTTTCCAAGTCATCAAATCTAAAAACCGATCGCAGCTACGCTGGTGGTAAAAAGCGCAGCTACCCCTGACACTGACAAATGATTTCTAACGTTTAGATACTCAGCTTTCAGCCTACCACCACCCATCCCCGAGAGAAAATCCTATACTGTACCCATACATTATAAGGATATACCGAGGGAGACACGAGAGCTATGCTACCGCTCGCAGGCGTACATGGAAGGATAGTCCATGGGCACACACGTATAGGCAAACCACGAATGCTGCAGACGTATCTCGTCGAGCAGTAACGTATGGCTAGAGTTCTGCTTGTCGGTAGGGTGAGAAATGACAGACGCATTGGTAATCCCATTTAAATGGTATGCCATTGACGAGCGATTCGCGAAAATTACACGTGGGAAATTCGCTCTAAACTTTGACTGGTACCTATTTTTCATTTTTTTTTCTGAGGTAAAAAAAAAAGATTAATTAAGTTAATTTATATGTTAGAGTGGGTGTGTATTGATTAACTTTTTGATCTGTCTTTAGTTCTTGACGTATTGTATGAATGTAATTAACAAAATGGTAAGCTAGGTTAGGCAGATACAAAGTTTCTCGTAATTTAGTGTAACAAGGTTATTTCATCATCAGGAAAACGATCCTCATTATATTTTATATGTATTAATACCATATGCATACATATATTTAAAAAACTACGATACCGAAAAGGTTTGTCATTTTCGCTCCTTCTTATTATGGACTTGCAAAAAGAAGGAAGGCGCTAATGGATATCAAGTTTCATAGGCGTGCTTTAAGAGTCGATATCGACGAAAACTTTGAGTTGAGAAGTCCTGTTAATTTTCATTATATTTTTTCGCTGTGTTTTTTTGGATAAGCATATTTTTAACGCATATTTCTCAGTAAGAGATTTAATTAAGAAAATATTAGAGTATGGTTTGCATAATGTTTTCAATGTGATTTAACCTCATACTGGCATAATTACGATTTAATTATAAATTATCGTTCGAACGGTTTCGGAAAGAGAATATTTATAAATGTAAACCATCTATTATAAATTCAATTTATAAAATATTTTCAATTAAGAAAGTACATGGGCTGAAAATCTGACGTCTTATAAGATTTTCACAAGTATTTCAATTTTTCAAAAAAATTTTCAATTTGCATAACTGTTAGGCTGATTCTGTCGGCAGCAAAGAGTGGTCATGAAAAAGCAGGTGCCTTGGACCTCCGCGATAAACATGAAATAATAGAATCGACGTCCAAGCAGTAGAAAGAGAGCAGACCTGATCTGCTCTTTTTTCTCCTCGTTTCTCAGTATTTCTTACTGTAAAGGGATATAAACGCCGGGGATAACTTTTTCTCCTACACTTTTTTTGCTGCTGTAATATTTTTTCGAGGCTTAGCTATACGTAGAGAAATCAGAATCGATGAGCAGATAGGTGTTAGTTGAAAATATGCGAGAGAGTATTGGGCAAGATAGTAGTTTTATTATTGGAGAGTGCGACTTGTTCAAATTTTAGAAAAATAAAATAATTTTTTTTCCCCACTAATACACATATGTCTACACATATTCGTACGTACAATGGTACATGTATTTATTTTCATAAAAATTTACAAGGTCAGAGCAAGCTTGATGAACAAGAGTTTTTCATTATTTTATGGGTGACGCAGAAAAAACTGAGCTGATCTATATAAAACGTGAAAAATTCGTGTTTTTGAACGTTTCAGAGAAAAAAAAATTCGTAGTACTAGTCCTCTCTGTAACGCTTTACGAAGACGATATTCATTTGCCTTTTAGCTGTTAGATTTGCTGAAAAGTAATATCCACTACACAAAAAAACTAAAATGTGATATTCATTCAAGCGAAACCGTTAGTGTTGCTTGAAACAATAATTATAAGTTAAAGTATGCACGTAGTATTTTTAATGTTGTACTCTTGTGGAAGCAAAACATCATTGCACATGACCCACTTTTAAGCCTGTTTATGCTGTAAAAGCAAGCAGTGCAAATTTTCCGAGTTCGAACCAGCAACTAATCAAATACACGCACAAAGGAAATTTCAATACTTTTTAAAACTTTGCACGTCCGTGCTCTCATACTAAGCCAAGCGATTTAATGAATGTTAAACACCTCAATGAGTATCCGCACATGTGACTGAAAAATAAGGCTAACGCTACGCTGAATTTCACATTTATATTCAGTGGTCAAACGACCTCAACTACTAGCATGTTATATCTGCACATGAAAAAAAGATCCTTTGAAATGTGAGCTACTGGTCAGGTTTAATTATGCTGGGTAAAAACAAATGAGAATCATACTGTTCATTTTATTTCAGCTGGACATGAGTGATGAATCTTTGAATTATCACTGATATAACGTATTGTTTTTACACGAAAATTATTTAACATGATATTATAAAAATGTGATGTCATGAAAGTAATCGTTTTATTTATTTAGTGGATTCATTTACATCAA